AGATGTTCCTTTAAGACCTTTTTAAAGTTTCTGAGAGAATTAATGGAAACGACTTTTTCTAGATCTTTAGCATTCCGGTCTTTTGCAGTCCTCTGAAAGAAGGATGACTGGACAGTCTCGAAAACAGTGAAGGGTATGTCGACCGTGTAAGAATGCGATGTTCGGAGAGACCTAGAAGTCAATTTAGGAAGATAATCCTGAGTGATTGTAAATTTTGTAAAATGATATGAGTCGAAAGTACTGGCGCCTAACACTGAGGTTGGGCAAACCTAGTTCATTGACTAAAGACAGACTCTCAGTTTCGTAACTGAAATTTCTGGTAATAATGCAACTCGCTAAACGTTGAACCGCCTCTAATGATTCAAGATGTGTGATGAACTTAGAATCGTAAACAGCACTACAGTAATCGATTTTGGGTAATACGCAAGTAAGGATTCACACAGCGTGGGCTGTGTTGTGTTACTTGTCGCGCCTTAACTCTGTCTTTCTCGAAGGGAATCATCTGAGCACAGCTGTTTTCACCTTGTGCATCGATAGTAGCTTCTTCAACAAACGCTTGTATAGAGGGCAGTATAGAGCTTGTCCACGTAGTCCAGCCAAAAAAAATCAGCCCGTTACGTTTTGAAATAATTATGGCTCCACAACGAAATAACTTAACAGCTTGGGTAATATCTTATTTTGTAGAGTAAACTGTCTTCTTTGATATGACGTAACGGACTGACCAAAAAGTGGACTTTTACGTGGACACGCCGAATAATGTAACGTCACACGAAAAAACTTATTCTACACAAGTTCACAAAACATAATGTACATTAGGAATCTAATAGGGTATTGTTTCGATTAGACACAATTTCTTTTAGAATATTGATAGATATTTTGATATTCATTTATTATTTTGATTTATTTTTATGTTAGACATATATGAGGAATATGCGTATGAGAAGAGTTTCGTGGGAATTCTTTTAATGTTTGTCGTATTAACTCCTTTTTTGTATAGTGAGCAAACAAGATCGTTAGCACGTGAATATCAGAGTCTAAGATCTATGTAATAAGAACAAAGAAGCAGGCAACAGGACGATCTTCTCACTAATTATATCGGGAATTCGGCGGCAAATTCTGATATGCGCAATAAAATATTTTCCAACAGTAATGAGGTAAATATGACACTGTGGGATGAATATGCGTTTATTTCGAATCAGAAAATGGTGCGTTGTCGTAAAAAATGTACCTGATATCTAAAGAAGTAGAATCTGTATGATGCGGCAACAGTTGCTCATTTTATCGTGAAACGCAGCACTATGAGAGAGAATGACTGGCGAAAACTGGAGTAGAGTAAATAATTGTTCCCTTCGGCAGAGACAGCTCTGTTGCACTCACTTTATATGATTTGATACTTGGGGCGGTAATTGACGAAGGTCGTAGCGTTGTTGACTGTTTGTTTGTCAACCTAGAGTATTCTCATATTCGTTACAGCTGCTAGAGGCTGTGGCAGTAAGTATCAAAAGATGCATCAGCTCCACAATTTCACAATAGTTTCTGTTGAAGATAATTTCGTTGACTTACTTGTTCGCTGTCATTCCTTCATCTCCATCAGTTCTGGCGTTGTAAATATAGATTTTGTCAATCACATGCAGCTCTGAAATTCGTGCTCCAAGTTGGTCATACGATTCTTTATCAACGACGAGGAATACAGCTTCATTGTGCACAGTTTTGAGATGATTAAAACAAGCATTCGAGTCATTGAATATTTCGACAAAATCGATCACTGAACGCCAGTATCCACGATCAAATACTGGGTGCTGAGTCGCTGGTGATTGTAGAAGAATCAGACGACACAATTCAAGGTTTTCGCTACGATCGACCATTGTACTTGTAGGGAGTGCATGCATCGATTGTTGCTCTGCCATGCACATTGTCTGTTGATTTTTTATGACGGAAAAGAAAAAACCTTGAATGCGTTTGAAATCATTTTTCTTCTTGTGTACACTGCGACGTGTAATGCACGACATTCGAAGCTTCTCAAAGGAGAAAAATATCGTCTATGGGTAGTGAATATACCTTGAAAGTGTGGTGAGAACTGTTCTTCTCATTCATAACTTCATGTTTTTTACTAAAGAAGTCATTGTTTTCGTTGCAAATATAGATTCAGTTTACTCTACAAAATAAGATATCGCCCAGGCTGTTAAGTTATTTCGTTGTGGAGCCATAATTATTTCAAAACGTAACGGACCGATTTTTTTTGGCTGGACTACGTGGACACGTTCTATAGTATAGAATGGTCAGTATAGAATCTATACAATCGATTTGTACATTTCATACCCTTTTTAAAGGTATAATATAGTTTATTTGTTGACTTGTAAATGTACCGTTGTTTTTTATAATTTTGTTTATTCTTTTTAATGAATATATCTGCCACTTCCATACCCTATCGTCGACCTCCCAAGATCATTTACTAAGGACATTTAGTTGATTGGGTAATATGTTTCTATCCGACCGATTAACGTCCGATTTACACTTACATACCGTATTTCGCGGCCTATAGGCCCAGATTAACCAATAGCAATAATTAGACTGTAAAAGCGATGACGAAGTCGAAAAAGTATCTCAAGATCAGTGACTATAGGGAGGATGCCTCATAGACATAGTCAAGTTCATAACTTATTCGAAGTGACCTTTTTAATCTACATACTTATTGCATTTATATTTAAAACATTGAGGTTACAAGAGATTTAGTAGTTCTAAACTTCCGCGAAGAAGTTGCAAATAGCCTTTAAAGTTTTGAATCTCTTGCTTATTTAAATTCATTATTATCCTACTCAAAATACTATGTTGATGTATATACTTGAAACAAAATACCTGATGAAGAGTTTTGTTTTGGAAAAAAACAACTAAAAGAAGTTCATTGTTTTCTTTCTCTTTTTATTTGAAGAAAATTTTTAACTTATTCTGTCAGAAAAGAAACTCAATTATTTTTGATTTCAATGCGTACAAGAACACCTTTTTTAAAAACAAGGGGGAAAAAGCATACTTCTGTACTTCTGGTACTTCTCCGTACTTCTTGATACTTCTTCGTACTTCTTCGTACTTCTGAAGTACGGAGAAGTACAAAAAAGTACGAAGAAGTACGAAGAAGTATCAAGAAGTACGGAGAAGTACCGAGAAGTACAGAAGTATGCTTTTTCCCCTTGTTTAAAAAGCAAAATGAATAAGTACTATTCTTTGCGGAAAATTATACTCTTTGTCTATTGAAGAATTAATCAACAAAAACACACGCAAGGCCGATTTGACTGAAAATGCGTAATGAAAATAAGAAATGACTTTGATTATAAACTTTCAAAAAAACGCTATGACAATGCAGGCATCCCCGTTTTACCAGATGAATTAAGCATATGGTTATCGTTTATGCATGCACTACTGTCTTCACTATAGCTTTGAATCGTGCATTTCATAAATTTAATCCTACACTTTTTCATTAAAAAAATGTTCTTAATCACGACTGAATTTAAATAAATGGGGCAATAAATTTGTGCGTGCAACGATGTCTGATGGAAACTAATGGAACGTTAGTGTAACTAATAACCGTAAATTTAAAATGTCTTATATGATAAAATCAATTTTATTGTTTATAGAATAATGCTCTTGTGATATGTCTCATTTATTCGTGTGTTTAAAAAACTATCGAAATGTGGAAGAATTCAAATCAATCAATCAATTTTAGTTTAGTCCATGTTCTTTATTAAATGACAGGGTAATGACAACAGATCAACAAAGAACTTGTCTAGGTCATCCGCAGTAAAAAAGCAAACAAATATAGAAAAGAAGTTTCAACAATAGAAAAAATGGCACAGTAAAATATAATATGGTATAGTATGTACAACTATAAGAAATGCACGTTTAAAATCTCGAGCACTAAAGGCAGCAATCACTCATTTATAGTTTTTGGTAAAAAATAACTAGTGGTTTTACGTTTTAACACTGGAAGCTGCCAAAGACATTGATTAAAGGTTCGCAAAGAAGTTCTAGTGGTAAGAGCTGTACTAATGAAAACCGCGAAAGTGCACTACGTCCTGTAATAATTTTGTGAAAGAAGGTTTTTCTTTGAGCAAGATCTGGTACTTTTAAGTTCGTGATCAAAGAGGAACTGTCGGACCTAAAGAACGGAAATCGGCCCACTAACAATAACCGTTCCAATCGATCCTCTTGAGCGCTTTCAGTCGAATATACTCGACAGAATCCACTTGAAACTAACCAACGGTTTAGCACCAACAGTATGACTGTCGAATCAAAATTTCTTCGTAACCATCCCATATTAAGCCAAGCGCAATACAGCATTCGACGCGCCGTGAAAAGCTCTGCAATATATGTTAATAGCAAACTTAACGGAGTCTGAGATCGGCCTTTTTGAATTAAATACTTCGTGTTTAAGCCGAATACAACTTGTACATCGTGTTCTGGTTTAATAAATTCTGCAAAAGATATGTAAGACACGTGTTTTACACATTTTAAAAGTTTCTTTTGTTCTTATTTTATCTCGTAACAGCTTTTCGCCTTGACCTATGGAAAAGTCTAGTATTAAACTCATAAAACCTGCTGCCAGGCTTCGTTAAAACAGCATCCTTTCCGTTCCCGTAATCTGTCTGAAACGATTTCTTGAAAATTTTATAACTGCTCGATGACGAATAACGAAGCTTGATTAACATTCCAATGATTTTAATAGCAATAATGTTCGCTCCATCGAGTAATCGTTAAGGTCATCATTATTGTTTGTGCTTTCATAAATGAATGATAAATATTTTAAATGATACAAATTTTTGATTATATCATAAAATTCGCTATATTCAAACATATCTAATGTTTCGAAAATAAACTCTTGAAGATATGGTACTTTCGCTTTCAACAATGTATAATCATAATTAAATACACTGAAATATAAAAAACGGTTGATAAAAGAGACAAGTTGATATCCTAGTTACAACCTCGTAGCGGAAGTTTTCATTGTGATGATATCGATCTCAGTGAGATTCACCAAAAAACTACGACTGAGAAAAGAAATTTTCTTTAGAGACTCAGACACTTCCTCTAAATGACCGATTTATAATGGTACATGCTAATGGTATATGCTTAAAAACAAATATTACCACAGGGCTCAGCATAGTCGATTACATTTTTTCATAAGCTGTTTTCCGATGCGGAAAACAGCTTATGAAAAAATGCAAGAAAAGTGTAAAGAATATATTTATAAACATCTCCAATCAGTTGAACAGATCTTATCTTGTGATACCAAAGAAGAATTTCATGAAGATAGCAATTTTGAAACCTTCATAATAGATCTTGTCTTTATGGATAAACGTATTTTGTTTGAGCTATGAAATAGCAAAAGAACAATGGTCGTCATCATTCATGAGATATTTCGAAAAAAATCATATGCCAATAGTTGATGAAATCAGTAAGAAGTTGAATTTTTTTTTTTGATTTCAATAATATATCCAGGAGATAATTCCTTCAGTTGGGTCGACACATCCGAATAGAACGACTTGACTCATTCTATAGAAAACATTTTCTGGATCATTATATCATTCAAAAAAAAATTTTACAGGATGAGTCAACGTAGCCTCCGAAAATGAGTCGATTCGTCGTAAAGGAAATTTTTTCCTTAATTATATAAACCTTTGATGTAAGGACGAATCGACTTCTCCTAAGAGGGTAAATCATCTTATAGAAAGTTTTTCGTTCAATCTAATTATTGAAAAAATTTTCCTTTACGACGAGTCAGCTCATTTTCGAAGGCTACGTTACTCATCCTGTAAAAAAATTTTCTGGATGATATAATGATCAAGAAAATATTTTCTAGAGGATGAGCCAAGTCGTTCTATTACAATGAATCGACTCGTCCGTCAAAGTGTCATAAACATCTATCTGTCTTCATCTATTTTTTTTCAGGCGCTTGGTACAGTAAAGAATATGGAGTGTGGATTGAAATATCAAATTCAGGGCCCAATTTCCAATCCAGCCGAAAGCATGAATGCCGTAATCAAACGTTGGACACAATGGAAGGGGAGTAAGAGAAATTGCTCTCTCCTGCTTTTAATTGATTCTTATCTTTCGTTTTTCACTTGTCAATTGATCGTTTTGTAATAATGTCGTACCCGTTGATGGGTTATTTTGTAAACGAAATGCGGCGTGGTTACTGTGGTTGAGGTAAGCGCCGACTCTAGCTTTCCTTTGTCTGTTTGATAATCGATCGTTTGGTTCTATTTACGTACATATCATTTAACAGTCGAACAACAATGTAATAAAATGGATATAGCAAGCCTATCATTAGTCAAGCCTTAGAATCCTGATCCAATTCCAGTTAAGATGAAAGAATCGATTACTAATGAAGCAACACTTGTTACTCCATTCATCTTTTACTGTAAGTGTTCAGAAACCACGTTCTATTTTCATGTAAATAGGACTAATTGTATTGTAGTTTTTATATATTTCAGTCATCATCAACTCACAGTAATGAATCTGATGTAATTATTCCTTCTGGTTTATCAGCACAAGAAACAATAGTCTCGTTTCTGCCAACAACAACAACCTCTACAACTACATTGATTAACAATACACCGCCACCAATTCGCATACCGATGAGTGCAAACGAAAAAGCACGTATGTTTCTGGAATTGGATTTAGTTTCATTTGATCGAATAGCAAAAGTCTTTAATGTACGATCACTTGACGAACAAAATGTCTACGCAGTGCATTTTCATGATCCAAAAATGATGTGCAAATGCAGCTGTATGAATCTACTTCAAAGCTGTTCACATGTGAGTATCTGACTTCTTCCGACCTATAATATGAAACACTTCTTGTTTATCGTTTCTTAGGTACAGGCTGTCAAAATCTTCCTTGGTATACCAGTTTCAGAGAAAGAGAAGAAAGTTAATTTGGGTAACGAACGTAAACGAAAACGAACTGAAGACAAAGAAGGACTAAGTGGTGATAAACGACCAAATCGAGGTAAATATAGTTTTTATTATTGAGTTGACTTGTCCTACTTTCTCTCATTTTTCTTGTTTCAGTTGATCGAAAAGCCAAACGGCAGTATAGTTCTAAACCGCCAACAACATGCAACCCGACATCGACATCCTCAGCAACAACTCTACAGCAACCATCGTCTTCACAAACAACATTTTTAGCAACAACTCCCATGCC